CGATGGGTGGTAGGTGGTCTATCTGGGCGCAGAGCGATGAGCGAGGAGGGGTACGCAGTGTTTGTTTTGACGAGGCCTGTGGAGGCTCTGTCGAGATGGTCTGGGTCTGTGGGCAACGGATTTCCTGGGCGGGCTGAGGGCGGCTGCGCTACGGTTATTCGAAGAAACTCGTCTTCTTTCTGGACGATGGAGTGGTATTGGATTGAACTAGAGTCGTGGAAATAGGCGCAAAGTGTTATCAGAGTTCGAAAGGATCGTCCTTTCCTGAGCACCCCGCTGTTCAGGACGGCAGGATCCGGCTTCGGCGAATCGTTGATCCGAGCACATACTAGGGCGATCTGGGTGATGTTTTGCTACAGTACATGCGATTTCTTTCTCATGTTCTTACATTCCCGCATGACATTATAATGGCATTCTCTTCTGCTCCATTCTTGAGTGTCCAGCCATATGCAAGTTCCTTACACCTTGTTTGCAGCAACTTGCAAGATACTGGCGCCACTAACAAGCAATGTTCTCGCAACCCCCCTCAAATAAGCCTTACTTCTTGGTACCAATCCGTGTTGCCTCTCCTTGATGATTCCAATAATGAAAGCTACCAGAGCCAAACTCTTGAGAAGTGTGAGAGCTGATTTCTTCAACAGCCCTTTCCGCGTGTACTTAATATCCCAGTCACTCCATGTAGGGAACATACATCTGATGGTGAACCAGATCTGAGTGTATCTGATATTGTGTCAGCATGATTTTATCAAATATATCGAGTGGAGAATTAACTCACGGGTACACGGTAGAGTTCCATCCTTTCTCGTCTTTGTACCAGCTGCCACAGCCACCGGTATTCCAGACTCTTTTCTTCAATGCACTTTGAGTATCTCTTGCCCATTCAAGCTCTGCATCTTTCTTGATCTCTGCAATTGCAACATCTCCTTTCAATATCGGTCCGATGAATTTCAGACTCATATTTACCATATTCTCCGAAGCTAAAATCACTGATGAGTGACCGGTTGCTGTGTTTGGACCGAATATCGTAAAGAAGTTCGGGAACCCGTCCATGGCAGTACCCATGTACATCTGGGCTCCACCACGTTCATCGAACACATCGTGTAACTTCTTTCCATCTCGACCCGTGATGTCAAGTGGATGAAGCCACTTTGTCGTCTCGAATCCATTCGCGAGAACGATGATATCTGCCGGGATGGTGACTTCATGAGAAGGTGCACTGCTTGAGGTATCGCTCATAGCTGGATATGTGCGACCAGGACCCAAGGTCACAGTCTTCTCGCCGAGACTGGCCAGTGGGAGCGTTGTCAACTCAATGAATGGATCGTTCAGTCCAGAGAACCAAGTCGTGTCGAAAATACGACGTTTGCAACCGACTCCATAGTTTGGTGTAAGTATCTCATGATACTTCTTGGGAACCGACTTGTGCATATGAGCCAGAAGTTGAGCTTCCATTTTCTTCCGTTCCTTCTCGTGGTATTCGTCGGACCCGAAGAGCCTCCAGTCGTATTCAGCTCCGGCCGCAATTATGAATCGGGTCACCTTGCCAAATCCTCGGACATGGGTGTTCAGCCATGGCGACCACTTTTCCCACCACTTGTTACCTCCAGGTGGTATCTGTCGTGGCACAACCCAGGGAGGAGAACGCATGAGTTGAGTTACTGATTTGGCGCCATACTTTTTGGTGAGTTGAGGGACAAATTGGGCGGCACTACACCCAGTGCCAACAACGATGACATCTTTGTCTGTGAAGTCTACGTCGTATCTCCACCTTGCGGAGTGGAAGATTTCGCCCTGGAACTTATCGTTTCCAGGTATGTTCTCTGGCCAGACCTTAGGTTCCACCAATCCTCCAACACTGCTCACCAATACCTTACACCGAATCTTCTCTTCCGAAACGTAGACGGATTGTCGGCCTTCTTCACGAATCTTCTTTGCCCTGTCATACTCTGAAAGATCACCAACACCTGTCAACAAGTGCTGCAGTGTCACTTCCCAGACCTGTTCGTCTTCCAACCATTTGCACTCTCTCACATCGGTATTGAGTTGGATCTTGTCCACAATCTGGTACTTATCGCAGACGCCTTGTAGGTACGTTACGATTTCTCGGCCTTCTGGGTAGAAGGTAGTCCATTGGGGGTTGGGGCAGAAGGAGAATGAGTAGAATATGGCTGGTCTGTATTCGACTCCACGTCAGCACTTGTCTGTTGGTCTAGTGGTAGGAAAACATACACATCACAGGCGACTCCTGGATATCGATTGATCCACCACGTTCCTCCGATTCCTGACTGTCGGTCGAAGATTCGAAATTGATCATGTCCGAGAACTTCCTTTAGCCTACAGCCCATAGCAATCCCCGACTCTCCAGCTCCAATGATCGCTACAGGGTAGTATGTGTAGCTACTAGCATCGTAGCCATTATCTTTGCGTATCGAGTTGCCGTACATCTTCAGAGAAATAAATATCAGTCCACTTTTCGCACACGCCGCGGAACGATAGGTAATCGATAAGGAGACTTACAACATCAGGACGTTGATTCAGGATTGACGACATTGCGAAACAGTCTCTGCGTCTCAAAGCTTGACTTGCAGATGGAAAGAATGCCTCAATCGATATATTCCTGGCTTCACGAGGAGGTCAGGGCGTATGAAGCTTTCAATCCTAGAGAAAATCAAGTTGTCCCGATACCGATTCGGAGAGGTACAAAATAGACTAAACTCCTCGTGCTACCCCAGACTTCCCCCGCACTTCGACGGTTCGAGGTTGTGTTGCATCATGGGTCAGCCGAGGCAGCGGGGCTGGGAAGGTTTGCCGGGACTAGCATCCTAGCGCCGTATTTAATTCAGCTTCACATGCAGCCGTAGCAGCTGATGGCCTTATTTTTGTTAACACTGCATCACGTATGGACTGAAATTGAATCCCGGTTGCTTTACAGGTGGTTTTGTTTCTTTGTTTGGAAAATTATGGGTATGAGATGCTTACGCTTTGTTTGCTGACATTAACCGAGACTACGGATCCACCATGCTATGAGCCAATAACTCGTTGTGAGCTTCAAGCATGATAGGACTCTTTCTTGAGTTCCTGGCTTACGGATCCATCCTAATCATCATATATTCATGGCCTCCTTTGTTCTCTCCGCCGTGAGCAGATATATGCTGAGCCTCAAGCTTTGTCAATTCTAGCATTGTTGTGAGCGGAGCATCGAGTATGCGACAGTCTTCGATTCTCGACTGTCTTTCCGGATATGGCGTTGAACTTTGTTGAATTTTGTAGCTCGTAAACTCCTATGTCTCATTCCATATTTTCGTGTAGAGTAACGCTGTATCTGATCTTGGATGAACGTATCTTATGTGGAAGGTCTTACCATCTATTGAGGAAATTGCGTAAGGCATGAGCAGGCACTCTGAAAATACTTGCTACTATGGTGAATCCTACAGGCTTTCGGATATCTCATTGTAAGCAGGCAAGCTTCGCTACTGGACTCAAGCTTGAGAGCCGAGTGCTCCCAATACAAAAAATTAGGGACCGATTGACTGCGTGCTCACTTGGTGCCATGGCGGGACTGTTCTATCTCCCTTTCTCCCACCTGTACCTGACCCTCGCCATTTGGGATGATGGTCAGCATGTACTTTGCCGTTCGGTCTTGTTGAATCTGTCCAACCTAAGATCCTTGTTAATCCTGTTCACTCAGAGATCCAAATAAGATACCAATCTCTGATTGATGTCTTGCCGAAGTCAGAACATATGCACACGACATTGGCGCATATATCCTTCCAAGATTTCCTTACATCTCTTCGATCACTGTCACTTACTCTAATCAATGTCGTCTGGTATCTGAAGGATATTTGATGGAAGGAAGTCTTTGTCTGTCGTGAATTGAGAGATGAGAGGTATCTGGAGAATCTCGCCAGCTTCACCTCTCCTTTGAGTCTCAAGATACAGAGGACTCGCTTCCTGGTCAGAGGAGCCTACAAGTCTCTACCTTTTCCATCTAGAGTCATCCGTAAGTATGAAAGCGCAGAGGGGTCACCGTCATATCGACAGATTAAAGTATCAGAGTATCTCCAGGAATTCAGCAGTGCCAGTACCCAAGGTGAAGGCGTAACCCGTAAAGAGCAGATCTAAGTCTTTAAAGCCACCACATATCAACGCTTCATCGCTAGAGTACATCGGTCAAAGTCGTCGCAGGGGCGCCCCAGGACTTTGGCGTGCGGTACGACACACAATTTTGGATGCAAAGTGGCACAGAATTGACAAATATTATCGCTATGGTAATTCTGCGCTCACTGCGAGCGGCAGGTCAACCTGGCGTGCTATCTTGATCATATAGTGGAGGAGCGGAGAGAACATCGTTTAAGGTAAGTAGTAAGGAGTTCATGGCCCGCCCGAAAACTAGCCAATCATAAGCGAGTAAAGAAGCAAAGGTTTCGCTTGAGCAAAGGTTTCGCTTGACCAAACGGAGCAGCAGATCAAAGAAGTGGAAGCTGGTTCTGAATTCCAGAAAGACGTTTTCGTCCCTTCCCTGCCCTCTGACTTTATGTTGGGCAGTACATGCTCAAGTCATAGTAGGAGCATTCTCCGCCCACCACTGTGTTCCACTTACTACCGAGGCGAAGGGCCCCGCCTCCAGACTTGATTGACTAGCCTCTCCTCAGTACATAAATATCTGACTGTCTTAAGTCTTGCCTGCGACTTGTAGTTATGTACTCAATGAAAAGATTAGTTTCCCAAGCCAATGTGCAAGAGCGAGTCTGATTGCATCTGAGTGTGGTGATCCCGGCTCAGAACTGCACGTGTGTCAGCCACAACGCTAGACATTTTCCGGTGGTACACTACTGACAAACCTTGAAAGAATGCAAGGGACTGGCCCACATGCTGTGTGACCTGGCCCGGAAGAGACTGGACAAAGGCCACATTGAAAGTGAACAAAAAGGGAGCCCGTCAAAGAGTGACAGAACAAAAGGAGGTCGGACAAAGGCCTCAAATTGCAAAAGGTTAATCACCGACGCGAGCAGGATTTGAACCTGCGCCTCCGAAGAGAATAGATGACATAGAATCGGTCAATTCTAGTCTATCGCATTAGACCGCTCTGCCATCGCGCCGACTGTTTTATTGTTTGATATGGTTGTGGCTCTTATTTCGAGATCTACCTACGTCAAAAATTTGTGACTTGAATCTGTTCACTTACATAATTCCCCACCGTCCTAAGCGAGGACACTTAGAAATCAAGGCCTAACTAGATGTGTAGTTGAGTTCACCATTTCACTTGACTAAATCTTTGTCCGCAGTCTTTCAAAATGCTTCTGGTACTGCCTTAAATGACTAGTAAGTAACTTCATGTCTACATGTTCTGTTGCTAGCGTTTTAGTCACCATTATTATTATGCATCTGTTGCACGGTAGTGATGTACCTCGATATGGCTACCTCTTTCCCTGCCCACAAACTGCCACTCAATATGAAATCCTTAGCTACTAGAATAATCCCTATATCATGTGAGAGCTTCAAAACATATACAGTTTCTGATGGTTTATTCCTTTGACACATGTATTGTCTGGATTTTCGGATTCCCGTACTTGGGGTTGCGTGTAGCTACTGTTGATATTACAACTGACCTTACAAGTGGGAGTGAAGTCTGCCACTTTGAGAGTCAGCATGAACTTCCATAAAATCCAATTTTCTTAGAGGCTAGGCTACAATAAGTTAAGATAGAAAAATGAAGCTATTGAAGCCTATTCAAGAATTTTCAGACATACCTTTCTAGAAGTGGTGGTTGGATGTATGGACTGTGGGAAGACCAACAGTCACGACAAAGCCTACCTGCGACGGCTCACGCCGTAGCAAATTTGATCCTTTGTTACCTGCAAAGATTATTGGGCGCTTCTTTATTTAAAACTGGATGATGATATATGGTGACTTCTCTTCTCCCCTCCTATGCACAGTTCCACTGCCTTACTCCCTCGGAAGAGCGGCGTTACAGAAGACATATTACATTCGTGCTTTGACACGAATCGATACTCTAAAATATTTCTGCAGTAGAGTATGAGACTGTCAACGGTCGAGCTGTTTAACAGAGGCAACCAGTATCTATAACGCCATAATGCTAATCCGTGGTTCCAATGAAGCTGCGTGATGAGAATCGTGTTCGTATTGTTCCCCGCTGACGCAGTGACGAAGTTAATGGTGGGCTTAACTGAGCAATTAATGGAACCCTTCACGCATCAGGACGCATCTGGCGCAACACAACACCCTCAAGAATGACGAACATCAAGAATTCCCTTCAGACACGGTCGCGTGAGTAAATTCTAAAGCAAGTTGGGGGTTGATTTTCGTCAAAAGCGACACCCCATACAATGTCAGCGATACATCTGACTCGAAGTTCTACACGTGGATGCCTGATTGGATGAAATGACTTTCTCCAGAAAGTGAGTGAGACACCTTGAGGGCTGCAAGGCGAGGTCCAAGAATACATGAAGAGAGCGATGACCGACGACATCTTCTGTTGGAAAATTGTTGTGAGCCTCAGAAACATTGTTTTCAGAAGAGAAAGCTTTGACTCCGGACTCGCCGTTCTCAAGAGTCAATCCCAGTAAGAAGAAGCCACGAACGTCACCGCACCGTACCGTCAAGGTTCCCAAAAAGCGGATTTCTACAGAGCCAGAGGTCAACGCCTCTTGACGTTCAAGCAAGAATGGTCAATAGTCCCTAAGTATTTTATTCTATCTTTCCCCCAAGATTGTTTCGCAATGCGTTCAACCGCAATACTATTAGCAGCCTGTCTGCTTAAATTTTCCCATGGTACACCCATCGGCGATACCCAACCCGTCCTGCAGGTGCCATTGGAGGACCATCCACAGGCACAGGAACAGGCACAAGCCTCACGACGATTGCATGGGAGGTTTCTGCATATCACAGGTGGGCGGCTGATTTGGATCTTATCTGTGTACCTGGCTAACCAGATCGCAGACCTGCATCCCGACCCTCATTACAAAATCCATTCTTCGACCGAGGAGGAAGATGCGTGTCACAGAGGCAAGGGTCTGGCGGGCACATACGGTGCAGAAACATCTGATTGCGACACGCCATATGCCCTGATAAACGCGACATTCAAATGGATCGCCGAGAACCTCAAAGATAACATCGATTTCGTCGTATGGACGGGCGACTCTGCGCGGCACGATAGCGACGAAAAGATTCCTCGAAATGCGAACGAAGTCCTCAATACGAATAGATGGATCGCAGAGAAATTCCTGGAAGTGTTCAGTACCGACGGCAATCCTAAGAAGGACCTCGCAATCCCAATTGTTTCGACGTTTGGCAACAACGACATCCTCCCTCACAATATCCTGCTTTCGGGTCCGAACAAGTGGTTGAAGTCATACACCGACATTTGGAGCAAGTTCATACCGGAGGAGCAGAGGCATGGCTTTGAGAGAGGCGGATGGTACTTTGTTGAGGTCATCCCGAAGAAATTGGCAGTCTTCAGTCTGAACACGCTGTACTTCTTCGACCACAATGCAGCCGTTGATGGATGTGCCCTACGGTCGGAGCCTGGCTACGAACACTTCGAATGGCTCCGAATCCAGCTTCAATTCATACGAGACCGTGGCATGAAGGCGATCCTTATCGGCCATGTCCCACCCGCGAGAACAGATAGCAAGCAATTATGGGACGAGACTTGCTGGCAGAAATACACGCTTTGGCTGGATCAATACCGCGATATCATTGTTGGGGGGCTTTACGGGCATATGAACATCGACCATTTCATGTTGCAGGACAAGAAGCATATTGACCTGGTTCTGGCTGATGGAGATGTCTCCGATAGCGCGACCATTCGTACATTGATGGATGAGGAGCTTTCGATCGAATCTGCGAACGACTATCTCGAGGAACTTCGTGCAGACTGGTCAGGTCTGCCAAATCCAAATGTTGCATTCCAAGACGACGATAATGCAGAAATTCTCAAGAAGAAGCATAAGAAAAAGAAGGGCAAGAAAAGCAAGAAAGAGAGGGCTCTGAAGAAGATTGGGGGACCATGGGGAGAACGATTCCAGGTCACTCATGTCAGCCCAAGCATTGTTCCCAATTTCTTTCCAACGCTTCGGGTCATGGAATACAATATCAGTGGACTCGATCTATCAGCAACTTGGGCCAGCGCTCAAGCTTCTGATCAAGCACAAGAGATGGATTGGCTTGAGGAGGTGTTCGACCCACCAATCGAGTATGCAGACGACGACATTGAGGATGGCGGAGATGCAGATAACGATGAAGAGTCAATTTCTAAGAAAAAGAAGAAGCACAAGAAGCCAAAGAAGCCCAAAAATCCGGACCTAATCGTTCCATCCCCGCCTGCAAAAAGCTCACCACCTGGGCCCGCTTACTCTCCACAGCCTTTGACACTATTGGGCTACACTCAATATTTTGCCAATTTGACCTACATCAATCATGACAGTTATGTTGGTAATGAAGAAGCAGAGGCCGACAAATGGCACGAGGGGAAGCACAAGGGAAAGCACCCCAAAGACAAGGTTCCGCATCCGAAGCCTTTCAAATTCCAGGTTGAATACGACACTTTCACGGATCCAGTCTACAAATTGAAGGACTTGACTGTGCGGAGCTATATCAAGCTTGCTCACAGGATCGGCCAGTACAAGCCTCGGAAAGGTGATCGGATTGATGGGTCTTCCGACAGCAAGGAGTTCGAGGAGAGCGACGAGGAAGACGAGGTACTCGACGATGATGATGACAGCAACGACGACACTAATTACGATGATGACGATTACGAGGTCGAAGCCGAGAAGGAAAAGCACAAGAAGAAGAAGCATCACCGCCAGCACGAGAAGAACAAAGTCTGGCTACGATTCATCAGACGTGCATTTGTTGGGACCTTGGAAGAAGATGACCTCCAGTCTTTTGATGGGGACTTGGGTTTTGTCCTGGGTGATGAAACCCCAAATTTCACCCACGATGGGGAGTTGTGATCATAGGCGGCATTGTTCGGAGTTCGGATTGGATGTACTGACTGCATTATCGGCGTTGGGAAAGCACGGGCGTAGCATGGCATGGTATGATACCTTGATTCTTATTGTATGAAATAAGAACCTTCTTTTGGGCATTACTTGGAAGTATCGAATGCAAGTCTGGCAGACTCTGCATTATTAATGCTTCCTTTGACTTGCTCTGATTCCCTCCTTGTTTTGTATCTTGCATATAAAAGCAATCTGGCTCAAATGCTCCATGCCCCTGCAGCATAACCTTTGTAAGACTGCCTCCCTGTACAGAAGCATCGCCTAAGCTCTTGAGTCGTGCCCTTCAGCTTTTGTCACCCTGTGCTGCTGGGAATGCAGACTCGAAAGTGTTAGAAAGTACTTCAGGAAGGCATCGCAGGATGCACGAAGATCTAGATCAAGGGCTTTACTTTGACTGAAGACCCTCCTGAGCCTGAAGTGTTTCTCCAGGCTACAATCCAAGATGAGGAGACACTGGTTTGGCGTTTTGTAATTGCTTGTTTATGTTTGTTTTGCACCTGTTGCCGTCTGAATTGTTGAAGGCCTATCAGCCCGTTACAAGATACAGCCAGCCCCTTGACTTCCTAGGACTGGACGAAGCGAAATTGATATTCAGTGATCATTGAATGGCCAGTCTCGTAGCAATATATCCTCAATTGCTCTCCAAGTACACTGTGTTCTGTTCCAACTCTGTGGGCACAAGCGTTCAGATTTTCGTCAACACTACTGTAGCCTCAGGAGATTTCATTCAAGGGCTTGATGAACTTCTTTGGCGATAATACGTGAATGACATGGCTGGTTTAGGAATTCACTTTCGAGTTTGTTTTGATTGAAGGTCTTCGGTTAGCTCGAAGCGAGCTCTTGCCGAAGGAAGTCTTGAGCAATACACCTTCATGCATACCTTCAGTCGATCCTCTTATTAACGAATGAAATGCTCTTGTGTTGTCCCAACTCTGAGCTCAATTATGCTTGTCGTAGAATAATAAGAACTTAATTTGTGTTTTTCTCCTCTCGATCTTAGTTAAGCTCATGCAACAAGCCTCCATCTTTCCTCCGATGAAAGGAGTGTTTTGTAATCGCACTGCACATCATTGGTA